ATCGACACATTTCGAATTACTCAGCAAGTCCTTCGGTCACTCCCACCACCTGAGGAGCCAGACTATGATCCACATGAACATCCAAGTCCAGACAAGAGGCCACGGCTGGAGCAACCACACAACCAAATCCACTTTGCCAATGTCACAAACTTTGGCAAGCACGTTTTTTAAAACTGGCACCGGGCAAGACAAAGTGAAGTCTACATCTTTGTTGAGACCCACCTGGATCCACAGAAGCATCAGCAAACATGTCAATACTTCACCATTCGAGGCAGGACGGCCTTTGGAGCACCTGCTCAACCCAATGAGGACAACTCAGGTACTCATGGTGGCATCCTCGTGCTGGGTGACCAAGCCTGTGGACTCACGCCACTGGAGTCCTACACCTGCAATGGGAGCGGCTACCAGGCATTTCTCTGGCAGGCCACTGACTGCACCATCCTCATTGCGGGTGTGCACCTGAAGACCGGAGAAGGCATCCAATCGGACACAAACGCCACCACCAAACCGAGGCATTGAGCACGGTGCTCCCATCCAAGTTCCACTTCGACATCAAAGCACCAGATCACAGCATCCTCTCGGGCAATGTGATCGACTATGCCCTGCTCCACACTTCGTTGGCCTCAACCACGGCTCTCACCACCGACTGGGCTGTCCCCTGGCGGCCGCACACACTCCTTTCACTCCAACTGAACATTGAAGCAGCCACCAAGGAGTACCGCCAGGTGCAACACTTTCCACCCCTGCCAGCGACACCAGACATCGACTTCAGGCCGTGGACATCCTACCAATCTCAGGCCTTTGAGATTGAGCTCTATGGCATACCACCCAATGCCCAAGCCCAGCAGTGGGCTGACTGGTTGTCGTGCACCGAGCAGTACCTGCTCCAGGAGCATCCCTGGGCGGAAGGCAGAGGTGCCAATTTGAGGGTAGCCATCAAACCCTTGGTGTCCACCAAGATCACCACTACGTGGAAAAAGGGTAAGCCTGCCTTTTGGAACAACTCCAAATCAGGTTCCAGCTGGCCATGAAGCAACCCACCACCATGCAAGCAGGACCAGTCCGAGGTTTCAAGCAAACCCTCCAAGATGTTCCAAAGCATTGGATCGGACCTCCCACTTGGGGACAGCTCTTAGACACCAGTCACCACTGGCTGAAATACCGAGATCTCCACGCAGCAGAACTGGTGCTTCACACCATTGCACACCAGCTCAAAGAAGCACAACAAGCAGCCAATGATGAGAGCCATTTACAATACAAAGAATGGCTGAAGCAAGGAGAAGCAAAAGGCCTCCGTGGCTTGTTCCGCAGCCTCAAAAGCAGTGAACTGGCTTGGGAGCGACCCTATCGGCAAGTCCCTCCTGAGGACAGGATGACACAAAGGCTCCACGACTGGGGACAGCTTTGGACCGGACGCTGTAACAGCCCAGCTCCTCAGGACAGCCCCACCGCTGGCCTTGCCACCACTCCTCAAACTCTTCCAGGAGATGGAGGCTCAAGCGCAACTCCCAACTCAACAACAAATGCACATGGTCATCATGCTTCCCAAAACCAGTACCAAAGAGCGACCTATCACGCTCACATCCCTGCTATACCGAGTTTGGTGTAGATTGAGGAAACCATTGCCCGACCAGTGGCAAAAACAGCTTCCAGCCACTATAATCATGACAGAGCACGTCCAGGAGCCCAGGTCTTGCAAGTGGCTTTGGAGCGGTTGTTGAGACAAGAGGTTCACAGAGCCAATGGGTGCCATGGAGTGACATGCGTGATGGATATGTCAACATTCTACGACACCATCAACCTCACTCGGCTCCAACAAGAGGCCATGCAGCTCAACTACCCTCCGTTGATGCTAGAACTGGCTATGCAGCTCTACACTGGCCCCAAAGCAATAGTTGCGGAGCAGGAGATGACACCGTTCTTCACCGTCCAAAATGGAGTCCCAGCTGGATGCCCCCAAGCACCCTTGCTGGCTAAGGCCGTGCTAGCACCAGCGCTCCAACCCTGGAAAACAAACCACCCAGATGTCCACCTCTCAAACTGGGTAGATGATGTTGGCTTTGACACTGCAGGATCAACACCCATGACAGTAGCCAAAAAGGCGGTCAATGCATACAGAGACTTGCACAAAAGACTGGTTCAACTGGGCCTCAAAGTGAACCCACAAAAAACAGCCATCGCCACTGACCGGAGCACAGACAAGGCCCTAAGGGCCCTCCTGCAGCCAGACGAGCCACCAGTTGAAACTGTCATGCGGGACCTGGGAGTTGACCATCAAGGTGCACGGAGGAGGAGGATCCCAGTCATGAAGCAAAGACTGGCAAAGGCCCACAAAAGGAAGCTGAAGCTACGCACTTTGCGTATCCCGGCCTTGAAGATCAGGTCACGACTCCATAGAGGAGGCATCCAACCAGCAGCCCTATGGGGTGTGGAAGGACAAGGCTTAGCACCCCGCTACCGCACCTCCCTCCGGCAAGCCATGGCCAAGCACCTGGGCCATCACAATGGAGGCCTACTTGACAGCTTACGATCTCCATCACAAAAAGTACATTGATCCCGGAGACCAAGTCATTATCCACCACATCAGAGCCATCCACAGCCTCATCCATGCCTGGCCCACCGAGCAACTGGCTGCCTTGGAACAAGCCTGGACAACCACCTACAACCAGCTCCAGACCAAACAATACCCATGGTACACAGTCCGGGGACCCATGGCAGGCAGGAACCCTCATGCGCTGGACCCGACCGGAAGCCCCTTTTATGCTGAGCAATGAGCTTGACCTGCACCAACCCTGGTGGAAGTTGGCACTGCTTCAGGAAGCCAGGACACAACGCATCAACAGATTGGCCAGTAGACCGTACCATCACCACCTCATTGCAGGACTGGACTGGCACACATATCATGAGGTGAAGAAAATATTACCTGCCCAAAGCAAGCATCACCTCAACACGTGGGTCCAGGCAGCCGTACAATATCGAGAGGCCACCAAGGTCAAAAGATGTCCGCTGTGTCAAGTCGATGCCACCAAAGCACATCCTTTGGTTATGCAAATGGCACAAGACACAGAAACATGAGCCAATGCCGCCAGAATGGATGGAGAGAATCACCTCCAAAGATGAAGAACCTCTATGGTCCGCGGGTTGGATTCCCTTGGAACCGCAAGAGCACCGATCCCAGGACCACCCATACCAAGGCCATGGATGCTGGGCGGAACTGGCACCCTTAGCACCCCAACCACACAACGGCTGGGCCTACAATCTCGATGCCACACCATCCTCCTACGACGAACGCAACCAAATGTGGGTGTTCGGACTATGCGTTCACACCATGTCCTTAGGGCAACTGCAGAGGCTAGGTGCCATCACGGGAGTCGCCAAGGGAGCACAGACCAAAGCCAGAGCACACCAACACACAGGCCAAGGTTATCGTCCACCTACCCACAGTCTGGGAGGCATGGCACCAACCCAGGAGCAGAGCAGCCTTCCAAGACCTCCTCGAAGACATCTCTGAGCAAGACTTCAGGCGCATCGTGCTCTACATCAGCAGAGCAACCAGAACTCCTGATGCTCCAGGCAACGGGCCACAGCTCTGGAGGCGCCAGAGGGACTCAGCCCTGACAGCCTGGGAAAGGGCCAAACAGTTCCAAGACCACAAACAAGCAGAATGGCAAGAAGTCTTAGACTGTGACCACAAGGTGATATACACCCATGCTGTACAACGGCTAGCCAAGATCTACGACGATCCCCAGCACTTCATTCACCAGAAAGCTCCCAGGCATCAAGGGAAGCACACCAAGCAGTACAAACGTGACCTCGTGAAGCAGTGTGGCAAAGTCTGGGCAGACAACCATCACCGGTGGGAACCTCATCGAAGCGGGTACCAATGCACGGCGTGTGGCACAAGAATGCATCAAGGTCTGACCAAAAGCATTCTCGAAGAACGCCTCCATGAAGACTGTCCACAAGTCCTCATTGAAGATGCACATGCCATGCCAAACAAAGCTGAACCCCTAGCCAAGAAGAACACCAGGGCCCAGGTCATCAAGGACCTACTGCACCGTCAGCAGCAACAAGCCCCGGGCCCTTCAGAGCACCAGTATGCAGAGACCACAGGGTACCTCAAATGCCTCAAATGTGGGGTCAACACCCCACAAACGAGTCAATGAAGAGGCCTTCCAACACTTCATCACATCCAAGTGTGTCGATCAGGCCTACCCGCAACCACCACAAGGCCACCCAAGCCATAGTTTGTGGCAAAAGGGGGAGAAGGTGAAGTGCACCCAATGTGGCTGTCAGTGGAACCTTGATGGAGAGCAGCGCATCATTACCAACCAGGTGTTGGCCAAAGTCGGCAAAGGAGCTGGCACCAAAGGCTCACCACCTCTCAGCGAGTTCTTCAAGAAAAAGAGCGACACCCACAGCCAAGCAGAGGGAGACCACAAGCCCACTGCGGAACAAGAGCCGGCGGTCAACACAAGGCCAACACCACGCACACTGCACTTCCCCACATCCCTGGACGACAGGGAGTCCATGACCGACCAGGCCATCACCGACCAGGTCATCACGGCCTCTGACGAGGAAGCAGGAGCAGACGACCACTTCACTGTCGACTTCTTCTGAACGCGACCCAACCCTGAGGCACCTGACCTAGTCAACCGCCGAAGAGCCACCGCCAACCTCAACTTTAGAAAAAAATACATACATACATACATACATACGTTACGTTGCGTTGCGTTGCGTTGCGTTGCGTTGCGTTACATTACATTACATTACATTACATTCATTACATACATTACATACATTACATACATTGCATACATTGCATACATTACATACATACATTACATACATACATACATACATACATACATACATACATACATACATTACAGACATATATATAATTGTATATATATTATGTGAAACAGTTCCCTATATAATTGAATATTCTTTGGTCGATCTCAAGTGCCAGTATGAGAAACAGCGTGCAGCCCAAACACGACATCGTCACATACTCTTCCTGCTCTTTCACCTCTTCTTCCTTTGTGACCTGACATTGGCCCATTTGTCTGCCAGCCTTCCTCGTGCGCCCTTCCAATCCATTGGCTTGGGCTCACACCTTCTTTTTTCGTCGTGTCACGACCTCCAGAAATCGTGAGATGTGGGGAGCATCCCTCCCTCCCTCACTTGCAGGCTCTCTCTCTCTCTCTCTCTCTCTCTCGCTCGCTTCATAGTGATGTCCATGCTTTTGCCCATGCGGCCTCAGCAGGCAACGGCGCCTCCTCTCGTGGCGCATCATCCTCATCCTGCAGTGGGCCCTGAGTTTCATGCCTATATGAATCAAACACCTCGAGCAAGCATATTCCAAGCTTGTTTGGGTGTTCGTTCAGGCTTCATCTTTCTCTCTTTCTCTCCCTGTCTCACGTGCCAGCATGAACCACTATACTCCTCACCCCAAGCAGGCCGGTCACCCATAGCAACCTGGCGAGAAAGCCACCAGAATGCAACAAGGCAAACGTTGGGCTGGAAGAAGGGCGCAGTGGAAGGGATAAAAATTCAATGCTCAAACTTGCCCGAGGTGCGCAAGTGTAGGCCACGGGATCTGGACAAGCTTTGAGCCCAAAATGGCGTTTCAGCCAGGTGGAGAAACAGCGATCACGTCTGTTAGAATTGCAGTGCTCAGCCAGGTTCTGAAACACAAACTCGTTCAAAGCTGTTGGATTCACTCTCATCGTTTAAAAGCTTTCCACTAGCTTGGCACTTTTCGCGCAAAGATTGAACGTCTCAGCTTGACGTTCAACGTCTGGTAGGAAGCAGTTTCTTCTCTTTCGCTGCGCGTTTCTGCTCCCTGCGCTCCTGGCTCTCAGTTGGCAGCTTGATCAAATCTACAAATCTATATAAAGAATGATAAATGTGCAAGAATGCCCACCCCGTTTAATATGATCATGATCCGCCCGCCACTTGAATTGTGTGTGTGTGTGTGTTAACCATCAAACAGCGGCATGGCACGGCACCCTTCACCACCTGAAAGTCATCGCACCGCTTCACCACAGATCCTTTTGGAAAAACCTGGGAATTCAATATGTTTAAATATAGGCCCTACCTAAGCGAGGTATATATATAAGCGCAGCCACCGATCTTTTTTCACGCGCTGCAGCAAGTTTGTCCAACAACCAAGCACCATCGGTGCGTAAACCTGAATTCAATCCTCTCTCGGGGCCCCGACACTCACCTCCCC